AGAGAGAGAGAGAGAGAGAGAGAGAGAGAGAGAGAGAGAGAGAGAGAGAGAGAGAGAGAGAGAGAGAGCAGAGAGCAGAGAAAAAGACACAAAGACAGAGAAAGAGACAGAGACAGAGATACACAGGGAGAAGATATTTACAGCTGAAGCACCTTAATTTCTTGGACAATGGAAATCACAGGTGAAGTTCCTGGCAAAGATGAGTCATCATAATTATGGATTATTCATTTTGACTTTAAAAGCTACCACTTTAAATGTGGCTTCCAGCAATTACAAATCAATTATAACCCACAATTAGGCCTACAACTTTTTAAGTCTGTACAATGCTCTATGTATGACTATAAATCATCCTACTTTGTTTGAGGTCACTAGTTCGATAAAGATATTTCAACTGGTCAGTCTAATGAAGTTAGCTGAACTGATGGCAAATCAGCTTTTCTCAGAGTAACCTGATGCTCATCTAAGTAATTATTTGTGATTTCTTGTAGGCAATCTCTTTTCTCACACCCCTGGCAGTCATTTTTGTGGTGAAAATCATCCGGCGAACTGACAAGACTGAAATTAAAGAGGCCTTTTTAGGTAAAGTATGAGCTGTATGTACTTTCAATGAAGAAACAGAAATTAACTAGATCATTATTAGGTATAAAGAATCTCAACATATACACAGCTGAGTTTTCCCCTGGCCCAATAAAGTATCTGATTAACAAGATGCCTATTTTCTCTGCCTGATGAGTGGCCACTTGGTAATTGTGAATATTTTCTGTCCTCATTTATTCATACTCTTCATTGTACCAAACATATGAGGACCAAATCTGTTGATGTGCAAGCAGCGAATTATTATATTTTTGGACAAAAATAACCCTTTGCAATGAGGAAAATGTTATTGGGCAGCTTTGTTATTGAAGTATGTCCATTGTCTATCCTCTCCACAGATATGGCTAATAGTATCCATTCTGAAGATAGTAGAAGCCAACCATAGACTAAATATCCATTAACTGGATGATAAAGTAGTTGATTAAGAAGATTAAAAAAAAACCAACAACAAATAAATCTAATACCTCCTAACCTCTTCCACACCTTCCCCTCTTCCTGACCTCTCCTCCTCTCAAAAATGCTCACAGTTTTTGGAGGGTTATCTTTATTTACTAAGGAAAAGTTCTAAAAACTTAAGTCTCATGTATTCTTCATGAATACATTTAATCCATAAACATTCATTAAATATCTACTATTTGTAAGGAACTACATTGTAACTTCTTATTTACCTTACGCTCTGACCAGACAAGCAGTTTGACTATTATTGCATCATATCCCTTGTTTTTGCTATTACTAGTAGACTTCTGAGCATTTGATTGAATTTGGAAATAATCATACCAGTTTTTTCTCTAAATTACCATTAAATCTATTTCTGTCTAAAGTGTTCTAGTTATTTTTGTCAGTCAAGGCAACTGAATTGAATTTACCATTTGGAAACTGATCCATTGTTCAGTAATTAATCCTAATTCTTCCCCAAATCATGTTTTGTAATGATATGTATAAAAAAAGATAACAATTACAAGAGAATATTTACCTCATTTTAGTATTTGGGTTTAATTATGGTTTCCATGACAAGCTCCCTACTATGTCTGTATTGTTCTTTGATAAACAGGTTCATAACCACAGGGTGGATGGCAGTGTACAGGCATGGAGTTGGTTATATCATTTCCTGGATATGAAATTTTCTGGATAACCAGAAAATGTCCATGTGTGGGATGTCATAACTTGGACTTACGGGGGTATTGGGAATACGCGGCTTAGTTCCTCCGTTGGTAAATCCAACCCTTCCTTCACCTTGGGCTCCCAAACACAAAGACACGCTATTATTTTAAAAGACTTTCTTTTTGACTTTTATGATTATGCTTGCAATTCATTGCCTGCTTTTGGAGCTGGGGTATTCATATGGCACTAAGTACCACACAGTTACTTTCCCTAGATCTTTTCACTCTCAACTAAATCTCCCTTAGCCAGACATTTTAGAATTGAATATTATGTACTTTATTTCCTATGTATTAAAACAGTAGGCTGTTTTATTGCATATTCTGTTTTCCTGACTAAATAGAAACTTGTTTTATAAAAATGATTGCGAACTTTGCTCTATGCTTAGTTCTTATCTCTTCATTTTTTGACTATATCTTCATTTTTAAGATGACTAAGAGAAAGCTATACATTCAGATATATACATGTATAAAGCAAAAAAATATACTACAATCTCCCTAAAGAGGCTCACATGGTTCTATACATTGGGTTTTCTGACTAAATTTTTAATTTTAACTTTAATTTAACTTATTTAAATTTAACCTCATTTAATAAGCCTTTTCTTGATTCAGTAGACTTTGTCCTAGCCCACAAATCTTTGGAACAGAGCTTATAACTGCCTTGTAGGATCACCATGTAATATTGAGCTTTTTACTGAATGGAGCTGAGTTTCAAGGAGTAAGATTCAGCCTATAGTTTATCTAATCAGTATAAATGATGAAGCAATATTAAAATAAAGGTCCTATGACCTTTTTTTATGATGTAAGTAATTTTAATAGCATTTCGTTTTCCAATTACATGTAAATATAATTTTAACATCTATTTTTTAAATAAAATTTTGAGATCCAAATTTTCTCCCTCCTTCCCTTCCCATCCCTCTTCCCTAAGATGGTAATCAATTTGATAAAGGTTATAAATGATCCACTACCTTTCCAACAATACAAGTAACCCTCTCATGGGTGACTGTTGGCCAAACCCAAAGGATAGATTGACCATATAAATCTTTTCATGTTGATTTTGAATTTGTTTCATGAGTCACTTCCTTTCTTCTAACTGGTATTGCTGTAAGGGCTTAAAAACTAGTTTTTTCTAAACTAAATCATTGTTAACTTACAAGAACAAAGTAATCTCTAGTAGGGAATTTTCTTGGCTTATCCCCTCTTTGGGGGATTAATCCTAGCATGATCATTTCTTCAAAATCAATATGAAGCTTTTATTTCAATCCAACCTAGATTGTATCACACAGAGAAAAATATTAATTGCTTTCTAAGATAGGAAGTTGGCTTCATCTACCACTATCTACCACATCTGTACTCCAGAGTTCCAGTGTTACCTGTCAGAGGAAAGCATTTGGGACTGATTTAGGTGGACTTCATGGTTGGTGAATCCTACCAAACTGTCCAGAAAAGGGCAGCTAATAACTGTTCACAGGAAGTGCTGTTTGCTAGAAAAGGCCACCCAAACCCAGGATATTAGAGGACATGTGCAGTGAATAGTCTCACTGTGGACATCCATGATGCTCCTCAAGGTTTATTTCATGCCATCCTAGCCCTGCACCCATGAAATTGGTGGTGCTAGGTAAGTGCCAGAGTCATGGCATAGGTAGGAAAGATCGATGGTTTTCTTGACAGGAGAAGGTCACAGTTATTCAAGGTGACCTCAGGAATTTGTAGTAGGAGAACAACTGTAAATGTCATACAGATCTTCTGATTAGAGGGGATAAAATGGAGGCAATGGATGCAAAGAATTCTGTCTCATAGCTCCATAACCTCTTCCGCGGTGCTTTCAGCATAGTGAAGAGAAAAAAGGTCTTTTGTTTAGTAGGAGTCTGTAGTGCTGAATATAATAATAAAAAAAATTGACTCATAGTTCCTACACAAATCCTATTTATGCATCCCAGTTGCTTGCTCAGTTTTTTTGACAGCATCACTACATTGCTGACTCATGTTCCACTCCTGAGTCCAGACAGCCTCGACCTCCCTCTGTGCCACATTCACAGGCAGCCAGTTATCATCTGATACTTGGACTGATGATTTTCCTTTGGTGAATGTACTAGTTTAATTTGTCCCTCCCAAGCTTTCAGTCTGTTGACTTTAATTTACTATTCTTGGCTTTGTTAATCAAGTTTAATTGTCTTTCTTACCTCTATACTTCTCAACTTAAAGAGCATGCCATCCATTAAGTGACACTCCCCCCTTCCCTGTAACAGACTAATTTTATGTCTTTCTAAAGTGTGCTTCAACCTCCCCTCCTCCCCCTACAAGCTAAGCTCCATCTCACAGTGGATTGCACCATATTCTCATTGAACAAACATCAGAGAGTCTTTAAGAATTAATACTTGCCTTAGGAAAATGATGGTTCACAATTTTATTATTCAACATATAAATGGAAAATGAGGTACATAGGTTTTATTGCTTATCAAAGGCATTGGATCTTTAATAAAATTAGTCTTAATAACTGCACATTTTGTACAATCCCGCTAAAATAATGGAAAGGGCATGACAGGTATTGTTCTGAGATGCCATTGAAGGGGAAAGTTCTCTTAATCATGCCTGTGGCGTCCTTTGGGATATATATTGTTAATCTAATGAAATTCTTCTGAGTCACTTGGGGAAAATCCCTTTGCAGTATGTTTGAATAAAATATTCCAGAAATTCCTTCTGTTTTATGAAAAAAGGAATCACATAGGCAAAATATTTTGACATCCATAACCAGTCTTCTGGATTGTTTTTCTTTGCAGAGGAAGAGAGATGGGTGGGTAACAGATGGACAAATGGTGGTGGCAGTGGCGATGATGGAGTGTGATGACATGGTCAGCAAGGGGATAGTAGCAAGGGATCAGTGGTGTATTCTGAAGTAGTATTGTAGCTACTGCTTGGCCCAGTTTGGAATTATGCCTGAGAAGGGTTGCCAGGGGAAAATAACAAGGAATGTATCTTGTTACCAATAAAAAGAACCACGGATATGCTGCATCAGTCAGTCAGTTTGAATCAAGCCAAGCCATGATAGATGGGCTATGAATTTGAGGATTCTAGGTGAGTGAGAATAGGAAATTTTGAACTGAAAGGACAGGGAATTTGATAAGATACCAGTATTTGGTCCTAATTACATTTCATTTCCATTAGATGAATCTTCTAAAAGAGAGAAGCCTCCATTCCTCTCAATATGCCCTGAACTTTTTTCCTTTACTTAGCAAAATAATAATAATAATAATAATTTAAAAATCAGGGGTTTTTCTTCTTTTTTTATCCCTGGGGGAAGTAATTTGACTCATAGTTCTAAGGCCATCAATTAAATAGTAGTGAACTAACAGTTACATTTTTTTTTTTGCTCATTCTTAGCCAGGTTGTTATTTTTCTGTCTGTTTGGTTTTGTTTTGTAGCGGTTTCCTTGGCTCTAGCTCTGAATGGAGTCTGCACAAATACTATTAAATTAATAGTTGGAAGGTAAGTCCTGAAATGTTGAAAACAGTGGTTTTAAATATTGAAGAGATGTAGGGCAAACTTGTATAATAACATCGCAGCTTAATCTTTGATCAGAATGCATTGGATGGGAAAAGACCTGTAGGTTTTCTGATTTAACCTAAAGAAGAGGCCACTTGGGGCCCAATTCTTGGCAATTCAGTTCAACAGTCATTTATTCAGTAAGCCTCTTTGCTGTCCATCCTCAGATTCCTTTCAATCTGAGGAGGCCTAACAATCTATAATTTCCCACTGAGGCAAGAAGGTTGCTTAGTCTAAGAAAATCTTTCCCAGCCACTTGGGGCAAATCCCTTTGTAGTATATTTTGAATAAAATATTCAACAGTTCCTTCTGTTTTATTTCATAAGGTAGATATGCAGGTAAATCTTTTTTATACCCTTATAAGTCTCCTGTAAACTGAGGTCCTCTCTTTGGGCAGGCAAGGGCCTACTATTGGTTCTTACGAGATATCAACTTGATTGCTTATTTCGGCCCTCCATGTGCATGGATGCTGGTTGGGATTGATTGGTGATTGGAGTTTTCCATTGCATTCATTACAGTTCGCTATTTAAACTTTAACTGGATTTTTTATTTGCTTACATTTTTCATTTAGAAATGTCATGAATAGTAAAACCCATCTACAGAGCCCATTAAGAGGGGGCTCTTTGAATTGGGTAATTGGAGAATTTCACCATCAGTCCCCAAGCCAGAACAGAAAACACTATTTCTAGGACACTCAGGATTCTCTCAGTCAAGTTGAATAAGATCTAGTATCCTGAGGAAGTACATGAAGTTAAGCAAGATGTGAGATCTAGGACCACATGGGGCTGTGAAGAGCTTAGCTATCATTAATACAACACATTGTAAACCTCCTCCAGAATTTGGATGTGGAGAACAGCAGCTTAACTAAAGGACTACATAGCGAGACTAATCCATAGTGATACAAAAGGGATGGGAGGGGAGGGGAAAGGGAGGATGGCAGAGGTGTGGGTAGGAGGCGTATTTACAACGGCAGTTTTTCATATTTAAAATATCCATGGTGTTTTTTGTAGACCTCGTCCCGATTTCTTTTACCGCTGCTTTCCAGATGGAGTAATGAACTCTGAAATGCACTGCACAGGTGACCCTGATCTGGTGTCTGAGGGCCGAAAGAGCTTTCCCAGCATCCACTCTTCCTGTAAGTTAACTTGTCCATGACCATGTCACTTTTGCTTTTTTTTTAATCCCTCTGGTCATGTTTCCTGATGAATCCATAAAGAACTTGTGGTAAAAATAAGAATTTTATTTAATTTATTTTTTATCAGAAAGTGAAGGACAGTTAACCCTAACTACCTTGTCAGAAGCCCTTACAGATCAATCAAGTTCGATGAAAGATATGTGATTGGAGGTAACCAACCTAAAGGAAATACTTTGCAAGTTTCTGTACACTACCTGCAGCAGCTGAGTAATGTACCTTGAACATTTCAGGATGCTAGCCTAAAGTCTTAGTCATTTTCAGAACAATAATAGTTTATCATTCTCTCAACCTTATTTCTTCAACACATTCTCCACTGCGCAGATTAATGGTTCCGTCTTGCAAGCTGAGGCTGGTTCTTAAAGAATATACTGACTATTTAGCACTAGAAAGTAGTGATTAGCCCTGGAATATGAGGTACTCAGAAGTGTCAATATTTAGAAAAAGATATCATTCTCCATGATAGGGCTTTGATTTGAGTCATGTTTTCTGAAATGAAATTTGAAGCTTTCTAATAAGGATCTCCTTAGTATGGGTAGCAGAGAACATGAAATATGTACTTCCTCAGAGATGAGGGAACATCCTAGTTGTGATTTCTTCTCATCTCCATTGCCACTGAGTCAACAACTATTCACAAACCAGTATCTCTGGTCACAGCTAGACTGAGGAACATCACAATTAGTAGATAATTCCAGCCATATTTGACATTTGGAAACAAAATGATTAGCGTATTTATAAGCACACCAACTCTAAGTTAACCCAAACAATCTTAATCATTAACAGTGGCAGTACAGAAAACCTGAATGTAGGCTTCCCAGTATGTAAGTGACTTGTTCTTATTATCATATATTGGTTACTGTTTCCCCCTCCCTCCCATTGTTACAAGAATTACTTTCTTAATCACAATCAAATTTATCAAGTTTTATCAACTAATCCTCATATTTGAGGAATGAAGACCTTTTAACATTTTGGTTGTCCATTTCTGGATGCTTTCCACCTTATTGGAGTGATTCATTAACTGAAAAATTTTCACCTCTGTTCATCTTAATATTGTATCCATTTTCTGATAGAATTTCAGGGTTTTAAATAATTAAATCCTTCTAAAATGGACAGTCTATAGTAATTTAAAAGATTACTTTGTTACCATATGGAATATTCTACTTAGGAAGTCTGGTAGACCTTTGCTCCTACAGGCTCACCATCTTGGTGCCAGACTTAGCATGGGCATCTGATCAACTTTAGCCATACTGCAGTTCATAACTCCCAAACTCAGGAATTTAAGAGTTCTTAGACTCATAAATAGCAAGGATTATAGGTGTATGCCACATACTCAGTGGTAACACATTTTACAAAGGTTAAAGTGCAAAGCATTCAGAAGGGGTGACCAGAATGGTGAAGTGCCTTCAGGCCATGACATATTAAGATGATGGAGCCAGGGATGCTTAGCCTGGTAAAGGGGGCTGTCATATAGAAGATAGATTAACCTTGCTCCATGTGACCCCAGAGAACAGAACAGGAACAAAGGGTTGGAATTCCAAAGAGGCTAATTTTGGCTTGATTTTGAGGGGAAAACCTTTCTAATAATTAGAGCTTTTAGGGTTGCCTCAGAAGGAAATGTGTCCTCCCTAATTTGAGGTCTGCAAGCAGGGGATGATTGTTGGTTAGCCAGCCAGTTTGTTATTATTGTTATTGTTATTATTATTTGTCTTTGGTTCCTTCCAACTCTAAAATTTTGTGATTCTATGATTCTCTAAAATTTCTGAATTTTTCCCTCCATTGAGTCACATTTTAAACTGTTATCATTAAAATGAAAATAACTGTCATAGGAAACCTTGACTATATAGTAATAATAGAACTGGTATACTTTGGGCATAATTTAGATTTTGATGGAATTGAAAGGTCCTCAAACAGTAGTTTCGCGCGTTCTCACACTTACCTTACTCTCCTGTTCCTCATCTTTGAGGTTAATATGCGCGACTCTTCTGTAACTCATCATCTGGAGGCTGTGTGGCACAGTTAAAAGAGTTCTGGATTTGAAGTCAGGAAGACATGAGTTCAAATCCCTGCTCTGACACTTGGTAGCTGTGTGACTGGGCATCTAATCTCTCTGAGTCTCAGTGTCCTCATCTGTCCAATGAGGGGTAGATTCAGCAGCTTCCATGGTTACTTCTAGTTCTAAACCTATGACCTGTGCATTCATCGAGTCTTGGTTAAAAAAAGGCATCAGAAATAAAATCTGCCACAAAAGACTCGCGCAGCAACTTCAGAGTGACAGGTAAAAAGATCTCTTTAAAATTTAGTGTCTTCTGTTACATCAGAACTTAAGGAAAAAAAATAGGTCTGAAGTGTAAAGTGCTGGTATAAAGAGATATGTAAAGTCACGCTTTGTCATTTCAAACAACAACTTTCCTTAAACACATGTGCGTGCTCACACATGCACACACACACACACACACACACACACACACACACACACAACTACTGAAGCATTTTCTTTCCAGCAAACCTGCCCATCAGGCACACTATGAAATGTCTTGCTGGTATTTGATCTATGATAAATAAGACAATTTACAGAAGCTATTTCTGCCTTCAGCTGGTAATGCTTCAGAAATAGTTAACGAATATTTTCCTGCTGACACTTTGGCAGTGGCAGGATCCTCCTGGGCCTTCCTTTGCACACTGGTGAGCCTGTGTGTGTATGTGTGTGTGTGTGTGTGTGTGTACATACATACACACACATACATATTTATGTATATATGTGTGTTTATGTATATGTGTATATGTGTGTATATATATATATATATATATATATATATATACACACACACACACGTGTTTTCTTTGCCATTTCATGAAGGTTAGGTAATAGTTCTTGATAATAGCTACCTTGTATACTTTTTGCAAAACAACCAGTGGTTCTTTCTTTATTTCCTCCCACAACTGATAGGAGGGTTAAGGTTTGTTTTCATCCTTTGCTTCTCAGAATGTGTGTGACTTGAGTGGCGCTATCGTGTAAACATACCACTGTGTATCAAATAATCTCTTTTTAAGAAATCTATTTCTTTTGAAAACAGAGGCTTCTGTTTCTCTCCATCTGCCATCAGCATCCAAAGCACATTCTACCAAAGTGCTCAGACCAGTAGAATTTTGGAAGCAATAAAATGCTCGTGGTACACAGACTTCCCAATTGCCACTTTTCCTCTGGTCCTTGGTGCTTTGGACAGCCAATGCCACGAGCATAATAACAGGCAAAGCTCACTATGTTAAAGAACACATGGTTTCTCTTAGTGTCCCATTGGCTCACAACTGTGGAAGGCCACAGGTCAAGGGCTCTCAGGAGAGCTTAAATAAAAAGCCCTTTGGAAGGGGAATTAGTTTTTCAAAGATTGTCTTTATATTTGATTCACTTTCAAGAAGGGTAATGAGCTTCATCAAGTATCATGAAATCTGTAAAGAATAGTAACTTAATATAATCAGATAGATGAGTCAGACATGTGGCATGATGGATATAAGGATAGCCTTGGAGTCAGGAAGACCTGGGTTTAAGTGTTGCTTCTTACAGATATTAGCTGTGGGGTTTTAGACAAATCATTGGCCCTAGGCCACTCCCTAAGCTTTTAAGTTTGACAGTTTGCTGATGTGCATAATAGACAGCTATACTGCAAAAATGAAAATAATAGAGAAAATGATATCTTTCTCTCCAAATGCATAGCCCCAACTACATACAACATTTTACCTGCACTAAATTGATATGTGACAATAAATGCTAGCATATCAATGGTACAATTTATCAAAGTCTCTATTTAAGTCTGTCTTGAATGAAATGGGAGAAGTGCGTAGAATAACAATTGCCTGTAGGAGAAATTTAAAAGAAAATCGAGAAATAATTAAGTGATATGCCTGACTGATGGTTGCCAAGCAGAGGGAATTTTCAGGCCCAGAGCAAATTTCTGGGTGTAAAATTGCCCGAAATGGATTTCTCACCCTCATCAGGTGATCAGAGTTATTTTGACAGTCATGTCTAATAATGATTATTTCATAAACAAAGCATGCCTAGAGAGTTCAGTTATATGATTGTTACTTTTAAAATCAATGCTGTCTGACTTTTTGACTCTCTTCACCGAAAGGTGCCATCAGCCAAACGCCTCTTGTTGCATTTCATGATTGCATCAGGTATCAGAGAGCGTTGGAGATAGAGTAGGTAGGAGGGGGATTCTTCATTAGGCCAAGTGATAGTGATAGTGATAGAAGTGAAAATAAAATCTGAAAGGTAGTCTCAAAGGAAATGCTTGTTTTTCTATTAGGGTTAAAGTGGATTTAGATTCCAATTTTAAGCATAATCTCTGGGCATCATTTATACCAATAATGAAGGTTTTAACTCCATGAATCCTGGATATTTGATGTTAAAAATCACCTAGTTCTTGGAGTGACCTAGATTGTGTTTGAATTAGAAAACATGGAATAGACTGGAGAGAAAGTTGAAGAATTTTTTTTTTTTGCTATCTAGTTTCATCATTTAGTGGGACAATGGGAGAAATGGATAGGATACAAAATGTCCTGGGCACCTTGTGGCCATTGAGAACACCAATTGAGGGCACCAATTTTACCAGGGATTATTGGCGAACATTTAACTGAGGTCAGTTCAATTCCATAGTGTTCTCTTTACTTCAGAAGCAAAATCTCCCCTTTTCAGATTATCAAGTAAGATAATATATGTAAAAGTGCTTTGAGTTTTATGTATATACACATATACACACCTACATACATACATATATACGTGTGTATAACATTGTTATTGTTCTTACCAGGCAGAAGCTTATAATATTCCTTTGTCTAGTAGGTAGAAAAATCCCTTTTTTGAGGAAGGGATAGACATCTGGAACTGTGATTCAATTAATTTAGAGAACTACCATTGTATAAACTCCCTCCATCAGATGAGCAAC